GGAGCTCTGAAGATTCTTAAGGAAATCTCACACAATCCCGCACTTCGACGAGCGATATCGGATCGTGGCGGAATTCACCCAATGGTGGAACTGCTGAGAAGCCCCAATCGTGATCTGAAATGCCTCAGCGCGGAGGCCATTGCCAACGTGGCAAAATTCCCGCGTGCCAGACGGACCGTCCGTCAGAATTCCGGCATAAAGAAACTGGTAAGACTTGGTCCTCAGCCTACTAAATTTTAAAGTCTGCTTACAGGCAGTTTCAAGCTCTTGTTTTCCACTTTCTGTCAGTACGACACAGGAGGAGAGTTGTCTGGCTTTAAGACCCTAAAAGACCATGCCGTCGGAAATTGCCCCAGCCTTTTCTGTCTTGGGAAGTAGCGCGAGAAACCTGCCGACCTCTGAGCTTTTGGTAACAGTATGGCAACCTTATTTGGTCGTAACATCCGACGGGATCCAGGGTGTGCTCCACAGCATGGCAGGGCAGGGACGGTGACTTGCGTCTGGATTTATTTTAAGTGATAGCAGACTTTTACTGCATCTGTCCTCTCTCTTACAGTCTCAATTACAGTTTGCCGAAAACCTTATTGATTGCATGCCGGTGCGTCATCTACATCTGTACACGTACGCGTAAAGTTGTGACTATTAAATTAGTATTTATAAATAGTAAGTAGCAATTTTCTTTACAAATAACTTTGGAGTTTGTGCTTGCTGTCATGACCAAGTCAAAAAGACCCAGGGCAGGATCAGGCGTCGCTTGAACCTGGCTCTATGCGTGCCATCCCGCCTCCCTCTTCCATTCTCAGTATTTGTTATGGGAACGACACCCGAATGACGTCTATCGGGCCTTGATCTAGCGGCCGTTTTGACGAACGCATTTCCCACATGACCCAATGTGGGAATGAAATGTGACTTGCAAATACTGCACTCAGTTTAGAAAACGCTAGCACTGTATTAACCGATCGGGTTACCGGTCACCCATGTCCCGCTGTGCCTTAGAGTGCAATCTAAAGCTTACACTTGTAACCGGCAGGACAACGGACTAGTGGCTCAATATTATACCGTTCTAATCGATTACCAAAGATCACCTGCTGGAATCCTGGGTTTCGCAAAGGTGGGGTTTTTTATGGCTGGCTGATGCTGGCTAACACGTCAGAAATGAACATTCCATTTCCCTTTTCTCTGTAGGTGCTTCTTTCAGACTAGAATGGGGTGCGGATATTGCTTAAAACCCGTTGATGACCGCTCACCGATCGCTAACGGAACTCACT